TCTTCTCTTGCAGTGGTTGATATCCCAGCAAGTATCCTTTTCCTGGCCGCCCGGGCGGGGAGCGTCGCTGCCCGGCCACCTCGCTCCTGCAGCGAGGGCTCCAATAACAAAACACCTCCGCAGAGAGAGCCTGGCCCTGGGGATGGGGTTTTAGCTGGTATTTTTAATCTACTTCCGTGGTTGCGGGCTGCTTTCCCAACACGTATGTTCCGTAAAGGGTTTTTTGGATGTCGGAGTCTTGCTGCGTTCCAGCCAGTGTTTAGTATTTACTTAACTCTGATGCCGCTAGATTCCCCAGTTTGAAGACGTTAAGTTTGAGGCAGCCAGCCTTCTGTCCGAACTGTATTGTCAGGAGGTGAGTGCACTGAGACTACTTCAGGAATTGTGGGTTGTCCTGGGGCTGCAGGGCTGCATTTAATTTGAGGTTCGTCGGTCTTCAAGTAGCATGTCGTTATTAATAACAGGATTCATGACATTTTCAGAGGTCTAGTACGCTACTCTAGTGTAAATACAGAGTGCTAAAGCGTAAGCCTGAAAGACTTTTGGTCTTTCTTATCGTGAAAGTTGCTGCTGGAATTGCAATGCAGGTCTTCCGCAGCAAAGGAAGTTTACTTGGCCAAAGTATTTCTTTAGCCCTCACTTAGACAAAGACGGGCTAATTTCGGGGGAGGGAGGGAAGTAGATGGTTTTCCTCAGGCTTCTGTTGTGTTCCTAGGCTATTTTTATTCTTTTTCTCTGGAAAAGCCTTAACTAGTCTATACTTTCTCTAAAGCAAATGTTTGCCTTTTCTCTCACATGCAGGAAAAAATGCACATTAGAATAGTGGCCAAAGGAGTGAAATAGCTAATACCTTTGAACAGGCTTTGAGTCGAGGGTAGATGTATGGGCCTGCCTGTTAAAACACTTGTTTTTATTGCTTTTCATGCTTTAAGGTTCCTGACCTGTGAGATGTTAATGGGGGATCAGCACAGAATACAACTAGTTTAAAAGTTGTTATTGTTAGCGATGAGGTTCCCGGCAGCCTGTTTTTTATGTTGACTAGGGTGCCTGTTTCTGTTTCAGAATTCAGTGGATACAGCAAAACCTCTGTTACGCAAAGCCATTCAGATTTCACAGCAGACTCCGTACTGGCACTGTAGATTGCTTTTTCAACTTGCAGTAAGTGATTTGTATCGATGGCCGTGTTACTGTTGCACTGTGATTGTAAAAAAACTGCTAGAAAATATCTGTATTCTTCTTAAAAAGAGCTTGGATGCCTTCCCCCCACCCCCAGTCAGTGCTGCTAATGGAGAGACAAAAGAAGAAAAGCTCATGCTGTAAAACAATGATACATTGGTAGGCTACGGATGGGGTCGAGGCCCACTTTTGAGGGAAGAAAGCAGTAAGGATTATCCTGTGGTCACTAGTAACATGCAACTTTAGAGGCGGAGCAAAATAAAACCCACCTTATGGCTTGCAGTAAGGGCAAACGTTCTCTTAAAGCCTGCTGGAATTGGAGCTTGCCAGCCTGAAGTGTTCATTTGATTATTTTCAACCTAATTAGCAGACAGAGCAGAACTGGGGCGGGAAAAGCAGCTGGTGCAAAGGCCTCCAAGCGACGTTACTCTTCCTGTTCTGTAATATGCTCTAAGTGTGGCTTCAGCTGCACGGGTCAGACCGTCTTCACTTCTGGGAATAAACTGGTGCGTGTTGGAATTTGCAGTGTTCAAGGTTTGTTAGTCTTCAGCTGTGTCACTGCTCCTCAAGTGCTGATTTTCCTGAGTGATCCAGTGCATTAGGTGGGGAGCATATCCAGAAAGTTAACTGCTCAGTGGGAAGAGCAGATTATTGCTGAAGAACTCCCCCTGTTTTTCCAGGTTACACCTCTTCTCTGGTCCTAAAGAGCCTCGAGGTGTTTAATGCGAGAGTTGAGGGAGTTAATTGCTCTTTACAGGTACTCCGCAGCAGAGGGCTAGTTAGGAAGCAATTTTATCTTTGAAGACTGTCTTAATAGTCACCTGTGCTTGTCTTTTTCCCCTGTCCTGATGAGCTTAAACAAGCAGACCAGCTCCGTTTAAACGGAATTGCCAAGCTCCTTTGTGTAGTTTAGGAACAGTGAATTGTGGAGAGCCTTACTTTCCTATCGATTAAAGGACAAATGTTTACTTTGCAATGAGTTAATGCCTGAGTACTCACAAGAAGCTTAAGCGTTTTTCTCAGTGCCTCCCTGTGAAGAGGATCCTTCCTCGAAGCTTGGCATTCTTCGCTGATTCTCTTCTGTGTGGTATTTCCTTTCTGGCTTTTGCTTGACCACAGAGGCCTGGGTGTCTCATCGCCTTGGTGCCTGTTCTTCTACAACTGCGTGGCTTTCTACCTGCGTTTGGAGAAGGTACAAAAGGCGGCAGGCAGGAGGGAGTGAGAGGTGCTCTGGCAGCTGATCATCCTCTCCCCGTCACCTGAGGCATACCTTGCAGACTTTCTCTGCTCTTCTTGCTGGAAAACACGCTCTCTTGTTCCAGTTACTTCAATGTAACGGTCCACGGTTATATTGGAGCTGCTGGGATCTGATCTGCACACGATCTTAATGAATTACAACAGCTTTGCGTGGTATGAAACTGGGCTGAGAAATTTTCTTTGAAATGTTACAGACTTTTTTTTTTTTGGAGAATGCCAGGTGTTCCTGGAAAATGTGTCTAAAATCAGATGATAGATTTAGCGAGTACCAGTTTAGCACTTGTCACGTAAAGCACAGGAGTAATTACATTTTTAAAAATTGCTAATTAGGTTCACAAAGAAAATGCTGATCTCTTAGGGCCTTTTTTTTTTATTTCAGCAACTACATACACTTGAAAAAGACTTAGTATCTGCATGTGACCTTCTCGGAGTTGGAGCAGAATATGCTCGGGTGGTAGGATCAGAGTATACCAGGTGAGTTCCCTAGCCCTTTTTCCCTTCCCACAGAAAATATTTTGGTTACCTCTACGTTTTATTTAGAGATGTTCTAGTTTTATTTAGAGATGTGATTGCTACGTGGGTTTTACAGGCAAACCAATATTTCTGAGTGTTCTCTTAGATCTGAGAGTTCCTGCAGCTCTTTCCTTTTTCTGTTAAAACCAATAATGTCCACTAAGACTCTGGAGAGTCTTTTTTCAAAATGAATTTCTTTATTGTCTTTATCGGCAAGTTTTCCCAGTAGCCTGTTTTGGCCTCAGAAGCTGTTGTAACTGGAACTGTCCAAAGCTCAGATACAAACCTGAGAGGCTGGGATTTCGATTCCTGGTGCTACGGTTGGACTGTTCCATCTAGCTTTTAAATGTGCTTTCTGTGGCAGGTTCCTTAATACTGTGCTGTCTATTGTCTTTGAGGGGGAGAATGGCAGATTTCCACACCCCACCCACCCCTCCCAGGGTTTTTATGCACTGTTGTGGTTTGGGTAACTTTTTTGAGTGTGACATCATTTTGTTTCGTTTCAGAGCACTCTTTCTGCTAAGCAAGGGGATGGTAAGTTGGATGTACTTTTTAAATAAACTATTTCCTTGTTTAACTAGTGTAGTGCAAGTTACGGAGCTATATAATGTAACCTGCCTGAACATAGGTTATTTGTTTTAAGGTATCTTGCATGCTCATCTGTGCTTTATATATTGTTTTATTCACGTGAGCAAGCACAGTATTAAAACATGCCTGGGATAAGCCTTAAGTCTGCAGGATTCTTGTGAAATTCTTGTGAATAGGTTTGGCTTTTTTTTCTCCTTTACTAATTATGGCAAATAATTTTCTGGAAGGAAAAAGGATAACTGCAAATTGTCACTGGAGCCCTTGTAATCAGGGATGAAAATCTGGTCATGTGAAAAGGCTGGTGCTCTTGCAGTAAGATGTCTTGGAGTCTGTTTTTGTTTTAAACAATAGATGAACGTACCCGGGGCTCTGCTGTGGTTCTCTGAGTGTTTAAACTGCTTAGCACAAAAATAATGAATCTTTATTTAAAATTGTAGCTCCTTCTAATGGAACGAAAGCTGCAGGAGGTGCACCCTCTCCTTACCCTTTGCGGGCAGATAGTTGAAAACTGGCAAGGAAACCCCATCCAGAAAGAGTCGTTACGTGTATTCTTCTTAGTCCTGCAGGTCACGCATTACCTGGATGCTGGGCAGGTACGTGCGAGTTGTGCTTCTTACAGTTCCCGTGTGAGAACGGGGGAAAAAGAGCGCTGCCTCAAAAGCAGCTAATTGTTACACTGAGGTGTATTCGGGGGGATTTTTTTTTTGGTTAATGAAACTTAATTTCTATAGATTTTAATCACAAATGAAATGAGGAGTGAAGAAATTGCATTAATTTCTTCTTCCCCGAGGAAAGGTTTGCTGTGATACGCTTATAACCGTGGCGGCCACTCTCGCTTCCATATAATGTTGGTGGAGATAACAGGCTTTGTGTATAATTTTGAAAAACATTTTGAGTGTCTGTTGGTCGTATATGCAGGTATGAAGGGCTGGTGGTTGTTAATCCTGGAACGGGCCTAAAGTAGTCGCTGTTCTGTCATGCTGGTGTTGTGATTTATGCATGAACTAATTTCCTGAATGTGAGGATTATTTATTGCCTGGCAAGTTTCCCCAACTAAGTAAATGTTCGAGCATCTGGGCTGCGGCAGCTGTGTCTGATGCGAGTCATCTTCCGCAGGTGAAGAGTGTGAAGCCGTGCCTGAAACAGCTTCAGCAGTGCATCCAGACCATCTCCACGCTGCACGATGATGAAATTCTGCCCAGCAACCCCGCTGATCTCTTTCACTGGCTGCCCAAAGAACACATGTGTGTGCTTGTCTACTTGGTGAGAAGCTCTTTTCTTACTTAATGTATATTGCTAATTAATGAGGAATTGGTTAAAAATTGCTCGGAGCCGGCAGCGATAGATTCTGCAGGCCATATGCTGCTTTACGTTACACTGACAGCTTAATTCTGCCACAGCATCTGTGAGACTATTGCTCTCAGCGATGTCAGCGTTTGAAGAGACCGTGCAAGAAGTCTGGACACCGGAATGTAATTTTATGAATATCCAAGCCAAATAGAATCAAATTAACTCATACGAAGTAGAGCTCTGTTGGCTTATTTCTACCAACGGAGTGACAATCTTGACTTCAAATTCCTGGAACTGGTTGCCCCACTTCTTGAATATTGTTATGCTCCCAAATGATGTCAAAATTTAGTTTAAAAAGCTGATAACTGAGGAGTTGTGTGAACTCCCAGACCTTCCCTCTGTGCAAAGATAATTTTTGGTAATCTTTCCTGTGTTTCCCGGCAGGTGACAGTGATGCATTCCATGCAAGCGGGGTACCTGGAGAAGGCTCAGAAGTACACAGACAAAGCACTCATGCAGCTAGAGAAGCTAAAAAGTAAGGATAAGGATTATAATTTAGCTGATGCCGCAAGGTTCCGTTACTTGTTGCTCATTTAAACTAAAAAACAAAACCACAGCGACCTTATTCAGCTCCCTGGGACAGCCTGCTGTCAGTCTGTTTCTGCCGCATCTAAGAACTTTGCTCTGTTTTAAAACTGGATGGTTAGTTTAAACACAGAAATCAAGGTTTGGGGGAGTTTATCGTAACTCAGTAAATGGGGCTGTAAATACATGCATTTTCATGCTGCCTTTCTGATTGTCCGTGTATTTGGTTATCCAAACTTTTGATTCTCTAAAATGAGCATGTGTTCCCAAGGAGTTTTTCCTTAACTGGTGCTCAGACTCCCGCTCCCGACAGTTCAGGCATCGCGGGTTTGATGGGGTGGGGTTTTTTTTGTTTGTTAAACCGGTGCCATCCTTCCCGTGGCACGTGGAAGAAGAGCTGGGCAGTATGCTGACTCTCCTGACAGCAGGTGGCCCAGCCCAAAGACATCACTCCCTAGATTTCCACAAAGGAATCTTTGTGTTGAAGCCTTGCTGGACCACCTGCAATTGAGGAAGCTGGCTAGGCGTGGGGGAGGCTGCGTGGTGAGGATGTTAATATTGTCTTAACTTCACTTACTGAATTACTTTTCCCTCTTCAGTGTTGGACTGCAGTCCTATCTTGTCATCTTTCCAAGTTATTTTGTTGGAACACATTATCATGTGTCGGCTTGTGACGGGACACAAAGCCACAGCATTGCAGGAGGTAAAAATGGGTTTTGATCATTTCCCGTGTTGTGGATGGATGCAGTGATAACTTAGAATACGGGAATTTCAGTTTTGAGGAAGATCCTTGGGCTGAGACGGGGATTGCAGCAGTGCTGACTGCTGGAACTAACAGATACAGTCAGGCCTGACGGTGCTCAGGATACCGCAACTCTGAAGCCGTGGAATTAGCCTCCTCTTAAATATTTTTATTTAAGAACACTTCGGGGTTGCTCATGGAGTCAAGAGTAATGCTAAAACTGCCACCTTCCTGATGGTACTTCTCAGTCTAATTCTGGTGCCTCTTCCCTTTCCCTCGGATCCGTGACTGAGAGTGGCTCTTGCTCTTCCTGTTAGTGTTCCTGTCTTGTCCAACTATTTCCCAGTTTTTAAGGTCCCCCGCCTTTCTGTCCTTTCTTCCTCTTACCTAGTTTGGGGGGAAGGAAGAGGGGGGACAGCCTTCCTCTAACGCAGGAAAGAACCGTGCTTTTTTCCCATTCTTAGTCGTTTTTAATTCCTGCTCATCCATCCCTTATTTATAGGACACGCTGCTGTATCATCGCATCCTCTGCCGTCAGCCTTCTCATGAGTGTGCTCGGGGGGCGGGGGGGAAATTTAGCCTGTTAGAAGAAGTGTCATTGGTTCTGGCTCATAAAACTCATCACAAGCACATACCCCGTGGAAGATTTTGATTCCGGTTTTTCTGTTGCGTGCCAACTCAAATTCTGAGCGTGTCAGAAGAGATCTGTAACTTGGTTTGCAGGTGGTGCCACCATATGGTGGAGCTGCTGCAAAGCAAATAATGCAAAACCAGTTTGAGTGTGCGGCTGTGGGAGGAGCGTGCGTGGAGCAGCGCGTGTACCTTGGCTTGAGGCAAGTCTAGCCTCCGCTTTTACCTAGGAGCATGACTTAGGATTCTTGAACCAACCACTGAAACGCACTGAACGACATGTATGATGCAAGCAGATGGATTTAGAGCATAAAATGAAACGGAGAAAAAGTAGCTTAAAATACTTTTTTTTTTCCCTAACAGATTTCACAAGTCTGTCAGCTCTGCCAGCAGTCTCCCAGACTGTTTTCTAATCACGCTGCCCAGCTGCACACTCTATTAGTAAGTGTCTATGATCAGCAGTAAGCTTTTAACTCTTTGGAAGACCGTACCCGAGACTCGTGCTCATCACCAGTAACTAATGAGAACGTAGTGAGGCAGGCAGCAAGATTTCCTGCCGAGTAATGGGGTCTGCGTTATCGACTGCCAGTCCTGCCGTGGGGACTCACGCCCTGTGTTATTTAAGCCCGTCAAAGGTTTAAATCCCTCTTTAAAATAAGCGACGTGTAGCATGATAGGTAGTATGCAAGGTAAATACGCGAGATTTCTACCGTGCACGTTTGAGACAGCATGGTGTGGGAACTGCGTAAGGGGAGGAATTTACGTAGCGTCGCTGTTCGAATATTACAAGAAATTAAGAGGGTTTTCTTTAAGTGGGGCGTTTTTTACAGGAACGTACTATTTTGAAGGACTTTGTGTAGAAAGTGCTTATTTTTCCCAGAGCCAAGCAAAACCAAGGCTTGTTGGCTACCTTTTATCCTGCTAATATCCTGAGACTTCTGTGGTTTTGTGCGTGCCCTCTCTTTGCGTTCTCGGCTTGCTATGATTGTATTTGGCATTACCTTAGAAATACCATGTCTTCTACAGGGGCTCTACTGCATTTCTGTTAATTGCATGGACAACGCAGAAGCACAGTTTACTACAGCACTGAGGGTAAGATTTTCTTCCCAAACTATTTGCTATGGATGTTCAATGTGGAAACGGGCTTGTTGCAGTTGTGTGGGTCACCAAAACAGTTGAGGTTGGAAGGGAAATCTGGAGATCACCTATATTAGTTGTACTAGTTCATTTTTTTTTCAATGCTGATCACAATTCGGGTCAGGAGGATTTATTAATAGCAAAACATCAGACGCCAAATGTGTGATTTATATGGGGTGAACAAATTCTGGGTTAGATGCCGAAGTATTTGACTGTGCTGTTGGTATCTTGTTTATTTTAGCTCACTACACATCAAGAACTGTGGGCATTTATTGTGACAAACTTAGCCAGCGTGTACATCAGGGAAGGCAACCGGCATCAAGAGGTAAGCTGGTTTCTGACTGTCGTTCTAAAAGTCAGAACTTTCTTGGAGAGAAAACAGCTACTGTGCTTGGACTACTCTTTTTTTTTTCCTTTTCCTGAGCATTTTTGCAAAGCAGTGCCTTGTCTGGCAGCCAGGCAACTCCTTAATCAGGGTAGTGTCAATTAGCGGTAAAGAACCAGTGGTATCAGCTGGCCTAGCTGCCAACCACTGAAGCAGAGTATTCTGGACCGTACGCAGAATTCTCTCCAGCACTGGGAGGGCAAGCTTCCCAGCGTGAAGCGGGTGGTTAACTCTGTCATCTTGACTCATTCAACCTGTTTGCTTCAGTTTCCATCTGTTTAGGGGTTTTATTACGTTACATAAAACAAATCTGGAGATCACCTATATTAGTTGTACTAGTTCATTTTTTTTTCAATGCTGATCACAATTCGGGTCAGGAGGATTTATTAATAGCAAAACGTCAGACGCCAAATGTGTGATTTATATGGGGTGAACAAATTCTGGGTTAGATGCCGAAGTATTTGACTGTGCTGTTGGTATCTTGTTTATTTTAGCTCACTACACATCAAGAACTGTGGGCATTTATTGTGACAAACTTAGCCAGCGTGTACATCAGGGAAGGCAACCGGCATCAAGAGGTAAGCTGGTTTCTGACTGTCGTTCTAAAAGTCAGAACTTTCTTGGAGAGAAAACAGCTACTGTGCTTGGACTACTCTTTTTTTTTTCCTTTTCCTGAGCATTTTTGCAAAGCAGTGCCTTGTCTGGCAGCCAGGCAACTCCTTAATCAGGGTAGTGTCAATTAGCGGTAAAGAACCAGTGGTATCAGCTGGCCTAGCTGCCAACCACCGAAGCAGAGTATTCTGGACCGTACGCAGAATTCTCTCCAGCACTGGGAGGGCAAGCTTCCCAGCGTGAAGCGGGTGGTTAACTCTGTCATCTTGACTCATTCAACCTGTTTGCTTCAGTTTCCATCTGTTTAGGGGTTTTATTACGTTACATAAAACCTAGAAAGGTTTAACTAAACATCCGGAAATAGGTATGTGCACGTCTCTCTTCGTTTTGCTTCAGTGGCGTGCCTGAAGCAGTATTAGTACAAAAATTCAGCTGTGCGCGCTCTCTCAGTGACGTGTCTGGTCCCTCGGCAGTAACTTCTCAGAGACGTGCTTGCCGGTTTCTGTAATGAACCGAGGCTGTAAATGAACTTTTTCACCAAGCACACAGTACTTTATTTTTGCTCTCTAAGCTTTTTAACAATTTTAAAAGTTGACTTTTTCTTTTGCTTAGTTGATTTCTGGTTTTAATCAAATAGCAAATCTGATACAGCATTCATTTGGGTCTTGAACAGCTCAGTTAGCTAGGACAGCGAAAAGTTCTCTGAGGAAATACTAACATTGTATAGAAAGTTCTATAAAGTCAGAGAAAGCATATTGTAAAAAACTTGATATTAGGATCAAAATGGGCATGAAAACCCCTAATGTTGGAATGTTTGTGCTATGGTCTAACCGGTACGAGTAAACCTGAGTGTGTTTGTGGTGACTGGCACCGTTTTGATTCGATGCGCCCTTCCTATAAAAACACTCGCTGTCAGTACTGTAAGCCTGTATATGTGAGAAACGCTGATTATCTTTCTTTTCCCCTCCCACTTTGTAGCTTTACAGCTTATTGGAAAGGATAAATCCAGACCATAATTTTCCTGTGAGGTAAGAATTCCAGAAACTATCTACGTGCTGATGTTGCATTGGTGACGGTAATACTGGATTTGTAGCAGGCTTTTTTTAAAAGAAAACAAAATAATCAACTTCTTTTCAAGGTAGAAGTTCTGACCACGCATTAAATATAATGTTTTGTTTGGAGATTTGATTATTAGGCAAATTCCTAGAAATCTGTCTGTAGTGCATTGCATCACTGCACAATGCCTGGATTTCAATGCCTTGCTTTGTCTGTAGCTCTCACTGTCTTCGAGCAGCAGCTTTCTACATCCGAGGTCTGTTCTCCTTCTTTCAAGGAAGATACAATGAGGCAAAGTGAGTATAAATCGGTGCACATGGAAGGTGGGGAGGGGGGAAGGAGAAACTAAATCGAGCTTTTTCAAGATAAAAATGAAAACCCCGAGGCCTTGCTTTCAAACCTGCTAGATCTTCTCTCTGTGGATTTAGTCAACCTTCTGGTTTTTACTTCGGGGAAAATACCGTGAAGCTGTTTGGTTTAGATCTCTCTAGTTCTGAATGCTAACAACACGACTTGTGCAGTGTCTGCAGTGGCACATCTGAAACAAAAGCTTTTCAAAGGAGGACCTGTATTATAGTCATTTTTGCTAAATGAAAGGTGAGGCTTGGGAATTAAGTGCTTTGTTTAAGGTCACCTGCAGCACACATTTATTCCTAAGTGCTAATATTTGCCAGTTGGATTAATTCGGTTCTTAATGATGTTTCTTACGTACTGGAGGGAAAGTGGAGTTTTTAAAACACGTTTTTTGCTCTGTTTTGGTAGACGATTTTTGCGAGAGACACTGAAAATGTCAAATGCAGAAGACTTGAATCGATTAACAGCATGTTCTCTCGTACTCCTGGGTCATATATTCTATGTGTTAGGGAATCACAGGGTAAGCCTTCACTGTCTGGTATTACTGTGTAAATGTTTGACTTGTCATTTGCCAAAGAAAATCAGGACGTTTTGTCAAATGAATCTTATTTTAAGAATGCTTGTTTATTGGTATCCCACTAAAAGTTGGCAGCTTATTGACTTACATAATTCTGTAGCTGTAATTTGCATGCTTAATAACACTTTAACGAAGTAGTAGTGTTTGAAGTCTGTTCTGGAAGTGTGTGTTTTATAATGCCTGAAATCACTTGAAAGAAGGAGCTGAATAAAGGACAAATAACATCATTCAACTGGATTGTTTTGGAAGGAATTGTGGGTACAAGCTCCTTAATTCTCACCATATGCCAGAGTGCATGAAATATTGCTATTATCTTGCACAACATAGACACCATAATTATAATTCCTAGGCCAGAGCAAAATTCTAGGCAGTTTTAGATGGTGCGTTTGGGTTATTGTCCCATTAAGCACTTCCACTTCCTAGCTAGGACATGGCAGCAATTAGACAAATTTTTCATCACAAATTTAACATCTCTAGGTAATGTGTATTCGCAAGGGGGGAAAAAAAATACCCATTTTATTTTGATATCTGCTCTTCACCAGGAAAGTAATAATATGGTAGTACCAGCCATGCAGCTTGCAAGCAAGATACCAGATATGTCTGTGCAGCTGTGGTCTTCAGCTCTGTTGAGAGGTAAGTTAGGAAAAGGTTTTGTACTTAAAAAAAGCGGCAAAGAGCCCGTTGCTGCACACTGGGGATGAGTGGGGGGGTGTGTGCCAATGCCAGCGCTCGCCGAGAGACGGCCTGGGTTTACAAAATACCGCTAGAAGTGCAAGATGGTTCTTCCCGTTACTGATCTTCAGCCCCGTTGGCATCCTCTTTGGCCGCAGCTCTGGCACTGCGGTCAGACACCCCAGTCGGTATTTTGTCGGGGCTGTAAGATGCCCGGGGTGAGAAGGCCCCGGAGAGCTCCAGCATCCCGGTGTAACTGGTGTGAGGCAGCAGTCGGGTTTCTCCTGCCGTGGCTGTAACTGGTGACCCTTTGGAAAGGGCTCCGGTTCGCACGCCTGTAGCATCTATTCTGCTGTAGCTCTGCTTTTCTTTGACTGCAGTTCCAGTTGTAGTAAACACTTCATTAAGTTTCGCTTAGGCTTTGCTTCTGTGTATGGGCTTTAATAAATATAAGAGACTATTATATCAATTCATACGTGAATACTGTTTAATCTGACTTGCACAGGCCCCAGGATGCTTTGTTCAAATATCGACTAGCTTCTTGGCAGACCGACAACATTAATGCTGCAATTGATTTGCTCTCACTAGAAAATAAAGCAGTAACTCTACCCTTTTTCCAAGAACTTACCCCGCAGCTTCAATTTGTATGAAATTGTCATGTTTACTGTAAGCGTGGTGCTCTGCGTTGAGCACTGCCGGCCAGGCTTATTTTCTGCTTTGCTGTTGCCTTTGCTACAAAACCGCCTCCAGGCAATTGAAATACTTTTCTTCTTCATTTCCAAGTGGCAGTTCCCGTACAAAGCATGCCGATAGTACAATGATGAATCCGCAGCAGATGAAACACCACCCCGCGTTCAGCTGCTGTTGCCTCCGGTTGTATCCAGTAGCCTGGGAATAGCGAGAGGCAGTTTCTGTTCTGCTTTGAGTTTCCCTAAGAGAAAAGGAGCTCTGTAGTTCCTCTGTAGAACTAATTACCTACTCTTGAAGAAAAGGTGCTCGATGAGGAATAACAAAACACAACCATATGTTCATTGATAGGAGGTGCAGTGTCTCAGGCCCTGCCACGCTGTGCTGCTTGTAATTTTTAGCTGAAATTGTGTGACTCTTAGTAGGTTACCAGTCTTAAATCTGATTGAGCTAATACCCGTGAGTAAACCTCGCAGAAAACAAGATGCTAGGATCAGCTTTTGGCGTATGCAAAGCAGCAGCCTTCTGTAGCCGCCCCCCCCGCCCCAAGAAAGCAAGGATTCACCAAAGAAAAAGTGTTGCTTGACCTCCGAGACCTGTGGTGGTGAATCGTGGAGCTGCAGTGAGGAACCTGCGAGTCTCTCCTGTTCCCACTAGATGGTGCTGGAAACTGAAAAGACGAAACGCAAACTGCACAAGGGCTGTTAACTGGCGTGAGGAGTTTGCTTCCTCCTTTTACAGCTACTGTAATGTTATTCTTTTTTAATAGTTGGAAGCTAAAATGACACCAAATCCTGCAGTGTGCACTGCAAGGCTATTGGAAAAGGGAAGGCTTCAGGTTCCCCATGTGCCCCTGCTTCTCTTAAAAGGGGTTTTCATTCAGAAGTGGTATGGCTCGGGTATACTGGCTGTTTAACTCAATTATTGGATTCATCAAATACAGGGAACAGTCTTTTCAGATAAGAGAGCTGGTCAGTTGAAAACAAGTACAAACGGTGTTTCTTGGTGGGCACACGATGCTCTTGTCTTTCAGACCTGAACAAAGCCTGTGGAAACGCCATGGATGCACACGAGGCAGCACAGATGCATCAAAACTTCTCGCAACAGCTCCTCCAGGACCACATTGAGGCGTGCAGTCTTCCAGAACACAATCTAATCACGGTAAGCTGTCTTCATCTTGCAGTTACGGGCGTTTTTGAGGCAAAACAATGTGTTTTGCTTTCCTTTACTATTCCTTCCTTCTGCTGAGCACGCTTCTCAGCAAGTTGCCAAAATTTGGTCTACTTCCTAAAATTTAAACTGGACTGATAACAGGAAAAGGAAGTGTGACTCAATTAATTAATTCACTTTTACAAAGTTTTTTTGGTGGGTACGGTCTTTGTTTCTTAGAAGTGTTTTCGTGGTACGCCAGAACTTAGGTGTGTTAAATGGCTTTTGTAGCAGGTAGCCACTTCATTTTGGTGACAACTGTTACTTTTGAAAGGAACCACGTTCTCAGGTTTTAATTTTAATGTTTAGGTCATCCAGTCTGCCTTGTTCTGGGGAATGCTTTGTTGTACACTGCTACAAGTACAGTTTCTATTGATACTTTAGCATTCCTAAGGTGTTTTTTTTTTCCACTTACCTATAAATCTGAATTTCCAGTTAATATGCCATTTGATGTCTGTATAGCCATTGCCTTAAGGTGCGGCTGTCTTTGGACTTCAAATATTGATGTCCTTCCTGTCAGAAACACTAACACCGTTTTAAAAACATAGAATGCTTTCCTAAGCTGCAACTCAGCAAGGGTGTAAGATAATTTACTGTTCTGAACTGAAATAATGTCCAAATGGGAATGTGAGATGCAGTGAACTCGACATCTTTTTCCCAACATTCCCTTTTGGGGAGAAGAAAGGAAGAAAAAAAGCCAATAGGAAGACGCTATTTGCTGGCTTTACTTGCAAAGGGATCCCGAGACTTGTGAGAATGAAAGTGTTCGTGCTGCAGCCCGTGTTGAGAGACCCCCACAGCCAGGTGCCTGCCTCCATCACGGGCCAGGCGCAGAGACAGGAGCCAGTGCTCCGGCCTCCGCTGTCTTTGCTTGCCGTTGCTGGCTTTTGCATAATCTATGCTGGATTAAAAATGTGGAGGGGGAAGAGGATTAAGAAACAAATATTAAATCTGCCCGTTTTAGAAGATTTTTGGCTAATGTGCGAGGAAAATATTTTAGTAATGAAACGGGTGAGAACCAGAGGCTTTACTTGCTCTGGAAATGCTACAGCTGCAGTGTGTAATGGGCTCAGACAGACACATCTAAAGTTAGGTCCCTCATTTGTGCAAGTCATGGCTTCCCGTGTTTGGACGGCCAGACGTTTACCTGTAAGAGCAGGAAATGCTTTCACTTGATTGTCGTTGACCCTGGATTCAGCACGGGAGTCAGCTGGGTTTGGAATGACGGGCATGCGGAGTGGCTTCGAAAGAAATACCGTACAAGGGACGGGAGCTCCACGCATGTAAAACAAAGTCAAACCTGATACGCAACTTCTCGTGATGAAATCTTTTAATTACCTCAAGGTAGCGAACGTCTGTGTGGCGAGCTCCTTCCTCTGGCCTCGCCGCCATTCCTCCCCTCCCCAGGCAGCGGCTGTAGGATTTTCATGCTGTTTGTTATCTTTCAGTGGACAGATGGACCACCTCCTGTACAGTTCCAGGCACAGAACGGACCCACCACCAGCCTGGCCAGTCTCCTGTGAAACAGAATAACTATCAGGACAGTGTGTTTAAAAAGAAAAACAAAATGCCAAAAAAGGAGAAAAAATACATGCAAAATCTTTTCTTCAAAGAAAAGGCAGCAAATTCCTCTTCTAGTGAGGGCCTTGTAGGAAACAGGTTGCATAAAGACAACGTACATTTCATAGACTTGCAAAGTGAGAAGGGCATTTTAAGCTGCTTTTACATAATGTGTGTGAATATACAACTAGTGTGTATATACCTACTGGTTTTAATCTGCTTTCCTCTTACTGAGAATTAAGGTTTAGTCCAAAGGACACTTGTTCCTTAAATTGTTAGATACCTACTTTTTAAAAATTGTCACAGAAAACGAGGAGGGAGGACTCACGCAGTCTTGAATACCAATTGTATTCTAAATACTTAACCCTTCCCTGGAGTACGATGCATGCCAGATTTAACGTTTTCTGTGCCCTTCCACTCCTGGAAATAATTGGATTAAATCATGATTGATTGTAGGGTGCCCTAAAGTTCTAAATCTAGTCTCTGAGGTAATATTCTTTCCTTCTCATTGTCTGCAAGTCGTTGCCAGTGCTGTTCGTAGCCTTGCAGTGAAGCTAAGGATGAGACCGGCGAGATCCGAGTTCTGAGGGGCAGGGTGTTTGCAGCTGGGGGGGTGTTAGCATCCTCGGGCTGGCCTCCAGGCTGAGCGGAGCAGACTTGCGCTGTTGTCAGAGGAGCGGGTTCCACCTCCCGGATTCATGAGTGTGTGGACAATGTGCCACCACTTCATCCCTGTGAGGGTCTTCCTTCTGTCTCCTTGCACTGATGTCCAGTCCCGCATGGGGTAAGGCAGAACCGCAGCTCTCTCCATCTCTGCTACTTTGTCGTGGTTTGTACGGGAGGAGGAAAGTTTTGGCTTCCTGTCTAGTCCCTCTGTGGCCAAGCACCTGGGAAACAGCATTTTGCATCTTTACTGCAGCCTCACCAAGGGAAGGCAGCATCTGTGCCTTACTGATTTTTACAAGTGATTGAAGTCAGAGTTAAACTAGGTGGTTAAAACCCAGATCCGATATAAGCCAGAGGCTTATGATAAAAACTGAACCCTTAAGGTGCCCTTGGCAAAAACTTAACGTTTCCAAACTTTTCTGTGTTAGCTTTCCTGTTCTATCTCAGTTTTTTGAACTCTTCAGCTGTGAGTTCTCACTGCGTTTGCCTGTGCCTCTGCAGCTGTCTCAAAACAGGAGAGACAAGGCCCAAGTTCGTTCTGCAGAAAAGAGTGTGAGAGTTGTTAATTCCATGAAGCATCAGCAGCTTTATAGCAAGGATCTGTGCCAGTCCGTCGTAGTGCCGTGTAAAGCTTGTGAGGTTCATGGGGTTTAATAAAGGCATTTTTCTCTCTTGGTAGCTCTGCATATTTATCTGCCAACTTAAAAGGGGGAGGGAAAAAGAATCTGCTAGAAAAATTACTTCTGTAGGGCCTTCTGTGATTGCTTCTTTTTCTGAGGGGGGAGGAGGAGAATATTTATAGGAAATATTTGACCCCCTCAAACCTTTAGAACTTTCATTGTAGAAGGAATACTGTGAAATCTGTCTTTAATCATAGAATGGGTTGGGTTGGAAGGGACCTTAAGGATCATCTAGTCCAACCGCCAATGATCATTCTTTTTCAAAGTCTTGTCCTCTGTCTTAGCAACAGCTCACAGAGACGCTTGCTCTTTGTAATTCAAACCCCTCGGTTTTTACCACTGAATGATATTAAGGGGAGAAGTGCTTGTCCGATTACCAAAATAGGATTTTATGTTTCCTCTACTGGACATGCGATGCCAACTTAGATCCCTTTCTCAGACATTTACTCTTGCAGAAGCCATGTATATTTTAGGCCTTGCTAAATCTCCCGACGGGGAAAACATAGCCTCAATATTGGTACCGGGAGAGAGTCTTATTGCTGGGTTTGCAAGAAAAAAATTCAGTGCTGTTTACAGTCTCCCTTAGAACCCCCCCAAAAAACCAAAAAATAGGAAGGAAATCTGTGAGTTAGCGTGCAGGGTATTTGGAGGTACCAAATACAGGGAGAATCCATGCAGACGGACCCTGTTCTTCATCACTTGCTCCTTGAGATCATGTTCTGTGTCTGCCACCGGGCTCTCGCGGTCTGTCCCAAGCACAGCTCCTCTCCCCTTGGACTCACGGAGCTGACAGCCGGCCTGCTGCGGCATTCCCGTGGAAGCTGCCAGGCTCACAGCACCGGGGGCAGGAGCCCGTCTCCGTGCCAGCACCTCGGCGGCGGCGCGCTGCCCGTGTGGGTCCGTGGCGTGGCGAGAGGAGGTGGGTTCCCGCTCGCTCCACTGCAGGGCTGAGACAGCCAGGCTGTGCCACAGGCATCTGCTAGAGACGGAACAACTTCATCAGCTCAACAGCTGTCACGTGCTTGGATTTTGATCAGGAATGATCAGGCGAATCCTACCTTAGGAATATTGATACCCCATGGACTATTTTTAAGTCTTTCCAGTTTTTTTGTGTGTGTATGGGAAGCAGTATCTCTCTTTGGCTGTTCCCTCAGTAAGTCACTGAGTTGCAAGAACTCAGTACCTGTTTTTAAGCGCCTAAATACAATGGCCATTTTCTTGACAGTGCTCTTGGCAGCTGAGGAGTGACTAGTAACTGAAAAAGCCGTACTTCAAAACCTGCTAGAGTCCCATTCAGGTAATCCGGGCATTCTCTTTTTCATCTTCTGTCATCCAGTCTGAGGCTGTTCCTTAACTGATTACGTGCCCGTGGCAACTACAATAAATTGTTTTACATGTTGGCCAAAAAAGTGCTGCTTCTACAAGGCAACATTAAAAAAACCCAACTCTAGAGAGCTGTGGTTTGGGCTGAGTTTAAGAAAAGCATTCTGCAGCAAGCGAGATGTCCACCAGTGCCCGTTCAGGTAGCTGCATCTCCTGACCGTATCTTGCTGCTCGGGGACCTGCAGGGCTGCAGACTGTGTTACAGGAGAGCGATTTGCAGTGGCAATTTTCTGGCTTCTCGTCGTCGGTACTTGTGTGCGAACCAGGCTGCTTTGTAGTTCGAATCCCCTGCCAGTCTGTTCTCGGGAGGGAAGGAAGTACTTGAGGGAAAGGCTGCCTGCTCGCTTCTGATGTAAGTGCGCTCAGGTTTTAACAGGAACCATTTGCTGAAAGTGGTAGCTGAACTCGTAATGTCAGGAGGAACAACCTGGGATTTCCCTGTCTGTGACAAGCCAGCTTCACCTGGGCTTTTCTTTTGTGCAGAACAGCACTCGGCCGCGCTCACCACAGCCCTGTGGCATTCAGAACTCTGCTCCATTACCAGAGTCCTCTTCCCATCACAGAATTTCAAAAGTCATGTAAATTTGAAAATAACTCGGTGATTTTCTATCTCTAAAATTCAATGTACATTTGTTACAATGTACAGTGCTTTTTAACTACACTTGTATATTAAATTATTTAATAGTTTTTGCTTTTCAGTATCTTTTGTATGTAGCAGAGATTAAAACAAGGACCTCATAACTGAAGTTCTTCCTAATTTTCGAATGCGTATGTAAAGTTGAACAGAAAACTAGAAGTTTACAGTTTACAGATAATGTTAAGTGCTTGGTCTGTCTAACTTGATTTGAACAACATATTTCTAATCTTTCTTGTCCGATCATTTAATTCTCTATAGAAACAAACATGAAGTCTTTTATGAACTTCTAAAAAAATTATTCTTCTAAAGATGTAATTTAGAGAACTGTACAGTTTTTTCTCCAGTATTTTTAAATGAGTAGCAAAATCTTACACAGAAGCATCTAATCACTGTTTTGTAGATAGTGTAAAAACTGATATATGTATAGAGAATGCAGTCTGAAGAAGTGTTTGCCTGTTGTATTCCATTTCCTACAGTACAGACATCAGAAAGGCCCACGTACACAGGAAATCTAGATCAACCTGGCAGGCTGGGGAATTTAGAAAAAAAAATAAAAATCATTAACTTCATCCCCTGCCATCCCATATGTGCACTCACTGTGACACCACAAGCAAAAGTTGACATTGATAAAATGTTAGGGCCTTAAGTTGCTATGCTGCCTGTGGACACACGGAGTTCAGCGTTCCACGTTGCTTCACTGCTTTAATTTTATTCAGTTTTTCCAAATTCTCCAGAAAGTAAAATTATGATAGAAGGAGTTCAGTAACGTCCCATTTTACTTTGGAGATTACTGACCTCTCCCAATCATGCTGGATGATCCCGTTTCCGTAACGTATGGCAGTTCTTGCCCCAGCGGTGAGAAGTGAGTGAGAAGGAAATCGTGTCGGTAGTTTCGGCTGTACAGAACACTTGGAGAAATCGGGATGAAATAACACCCGTCTGTGCTCTTCTACTGTCTGTCTTAGCAAGTGTATTTAATTGTTTCCTGCAGTGAACCTTTAAATGTTATGTCAGGTTTGTACAATGTATTGTTAAGTGTTTGTAGGTCTCCATAAGTAGCAGGACGTGTACCTTCTGCCAGTGCTCCTTCCTGAAGCTGTAAATACAGTAACTCATGTAATGAGACGGAACCGGGGGCATTACTTTGTTCCCTTTGTTTCCTCTCGTTTTCTATATTAGAAGAATTTTTAAATAAAGTTTAATTTTACTTCTTCTAGCAGTTTGTAGAATACTAATTCCTTCAGTTGATCTGCAGGCAATCCTGCCTACAAAGGACTCCTTTTATGTGGCAACAGTGACTTACCCCGTCGCCCAGCCCGGCGTTAGGAGTTGTTTAAGGCCCTGTCCTGGCTGTGGGACGGGAGGGCAGGAAGCCGCAGACGGCGCGTGCTAGTCGGTGCCTGGAAAGAGCACCGAGGGGTGCCGGGGGCAGGCGGGGAGCGGGGGTAGATCGCTGCTGTGCCTGCAGTCGGGCCGAGGGCTCCTGCCTGGAACGAGAACCAGAATTTCCTGCTTGAAAATGTCCGCCTGACTGCTCGCCTTAGCACGCTGGAGACGGCCGAGGAGGGTGGCTGTGAACCTGCTCTGGAGACGGCTGGAACCCTGGCAGGCGTCTGGGTTAAAACAAGACTTTTGTGGATTGGTCAAACACCTGGAATTTTTCTTATTCGGTCTAGGACAGAAGTTTTTTTTCACTGCAGCTGTGCCGTCACGAGGGATGCTGACTGTATTTGATCTTCATAAATGGGATCTGGTTTAATGGAGATTGCTTTCTGTCTCTTTTATCCCAAAATTTTCTGGCAGGTATTTTTACATTTTGAGCTCAGATTTAAAAGGAAGAAGAAAACTACTGAATTAATTTGTCTGGAAGTGACATTTTGAAGAAACTAAAAATTTAAAAACTTACTGCAGACTGTCCCTTTCCAAAACGTCACCTGAGCTGCTAAGCTAGTCCCTTGCATTTCGTCATAGAAGCCGAGTGGGTTCTGTTCCAACAACTTACTCGCTATATGAAAATTTTAACCCAAATAGCAGCTTCCTTTCTGTTGAAGTTAAGACTCGGCTATGCTGACACTCCATTCTCCTTACCCTGGTTATCTGCAGTTTCTTCCTTAGACAAAAAACTGCATCTGGCATTAACTGAGCTATCGTCACCTTCTCTTCTCCGTTCTGCCTTGTTCATCTGCTGTCGGGGCTGACTCGAATCTCCTCCGAAGCAGCTCCTCAGAGAGGATGTACCTAGTGGCAAAACTCCGTGTGAAACACGTCTAAAATACATTAGCGAGAAGTACAGAAGTTTGGTACTTGCCTAATAGATCCGGAGACGCATCCAGAGTAGATCCTCTTTGTATTTTACTGCGTAGAGGCTTGTCGTGAGCTGACAAAAGCAAAATTAAGACGCCAGCCTGCTGCACAACAAGCGACTTAAGTTTTCTTTTGTCAAGTATTTTTGCTGGTATTTAGCTTATTCCACGTAACCCCTTAGCACGGTTGAAACATAAAGGAGAAAACAGATCTTCCAGTGTTTGCCAGGGCTACCGGATGCCGCCTTTGCGGATGGCAAAGCTTGCTATCACCTCGGTGCAATTCTGGCCAACCAAGACAAGAAAAAAGTTAGCAAAGAGATTTCTGGAAATAACTTTACCTAGCTTCTAGGTAATGAAATGCGTCTCGTGCTAGACCTGTTTTGAAACTCTCCTGATGACACAGTAAGGGAAGTAAGTTGAGATGCGCACCTCCGTGTGTGTGCCCGTGTGGATTAAAGCTTCACTTCAGAAGGATGGAGCCCTTGGTAGTTAACCGTAAAGTTTTGAACGGCTTGAGGTGAAGCCAGTGGCTTTTAGTGCTTTGGCAGAAGTCATTAACCAGGGTGACAACTGGTTGCGAGCTGCGCTATTAACCCGTAGTTATTTGTAGCTGAAACTCTCTTGTACAAAGGGTGGAGGGAGGTACTTTATAGCGAGAAAACTTGTGTTCAGTCTTACATAAAGGATATTGAACACAGAAATGGTGAATCTTTAATCTAGAGTGGGAAACAGCTATGAAAAGCTGAGTGCGTTGGAACTTTCCTGACCAAAGGCTGAATACACTCCAGGAGCAGGCGCGGGCTGGAGAGGGAGGGACGAGGCCGGCATTCTAGCTCTGGTTCTACTGCTCTTTCCTTGCAGAAGCCTTGATTCCGTGCCTCCTGCCGTCGCTACCCTAGTAAAATGGGAAGCATACCGATTTATGCTTATTAAAGGTTATGAATGAAAATAATAAGCATTACCTCACTTTTACTCTTTTGAAACGAGCGCCTAAATAACCTGATACGAAGCTGCATCTAATCCCGTAAGGTGCACGTGGAAAATAATCGATGAAAGATTGGTACTGGCATTATAAATAAAGTGCAGTTCCTGTCACTCTTCTTTACCCTCCATTATAAACTTGCTTCACCCAAGATAATTTTTTTTTTCCTTCTAAGAACAAGCTTGCAGGTGTCTAAAAATGCTGAATAAGAAGTCCTGAGGCTTATGTCAGAGACGGCGAAGGTAGCTGCGAGCTGGCAGCTCAGAAGACATTTTTTGTATGAATACCGGGAATCTCACGGGGAAAGTTAATTTATTAGTTCCTTTGTTCCCGCTTCTGCGCGTTGGCTTGACCAGGTGGATCTGGATAATCCCACCCGCGGTGATGCCGGGCGCCCCGTAAGGCCCCGAACACGGCGAAGGACCCCCCGAGCCCGGCCGCGGGCCCGCAGCACAAGGGTTAACGTCCCTCCGCCAGCTCCTGCGGGAAAGATCGTATCGGGGGGCCCCCCTCGGCGGCGCGGCGGAC